GCTGAATAAGGCTGGTGCGACGGCCCGCAAGTATATATCATTGGGAGAACTTTGAGAAGGCATAGTCGGCAGAAAGGAGGATCATCGGGCGCGTTTCCAAAGGAAAGAAGCGGAACTAAGGGACTTGCCCATTTGGGACTGCCCAGACGGCCTGGACGCTGCCAGACGCTGCCCTCCTCTTGGTCGCGCGACGTCACGGTGGCGCACGCAGTCGTCGGCCAGGACAATCTGGTCGGCGGATGTCCCTGGAGTCTCTTCAAATGGCGGGGAAAGCTCCTGTCCCACTCATCCCATTCTAACTCCCACCATGTCCGAATCTACCTACGCAGTTCAGGTTTGTCGAGTTATGCAGAGCCACAATGATCTCCTCCGAAATTGCTCTTTCTTAGGTGTCCAACATTTCTCCGGTTACGACAAAAGAGCATCTGACAGAATACTTTTCGTGAGCGAAGGAGAAGCTCAACGTGATTTATCTAACATGACATTCGGATTTGCAGCTTCTGCGGGAAGATAGCCTCTGTTGACTACTCCGAGTCAGCACAGTCTGCTATCATCCACTTCGAGAAGCCTTCAGCTGCGCAAACGGCACTCATGCTGAATGGTGGCAGACTTGACAGCGCCAATATAACTGTGACTAGCGAGAAAGAGCATCCCGACGAGGGTCCTTCCACGCGTACAGGCGAAGCTCTCGACCAGAGCGACAAGCCGAGAGCTGGGAGTGAGTTTGGAACAGTAGCCCCTCCTCCTACATCCTGACCCCTAATTATTAGTCGCTGCGGAATATCTTGCCCGTGGATACGAGCTCTCTGAGCTTATCTTGCAGCGCGCCATCGAGATGGACAACAAGCACGGAATCTCTAAACGCTTCTTGGATTTCATCCACTCACTCGATGTCGGCCTAGGGGCAAAGACGCTTGGTCCACAGAAGACGCTTTCTGGGAAAATGCAAGAGACCGTGGCAGATGCGAAGCAGCAGGCACGCACCTTGGACGAGCAGAAGGGATACAGCAATACAGCTCAAAATGTGGGTACTTTTCTGCCGGCCAGTGTTATTTTCCATTTGTGCTGACTTTGCTGCAGTACTACTCCCGCGCGCTCTCTTCGCCTCTGGGCCGTAAAGTAATGGATTTCTACACGACGACTTCCAAACAGATTCTGGATATCCATGAGGAGGCACGTCGTATTAATGACGCACATAAGCAAGAGGAGGAAACGACTCCAGGCGAGGGTTTCACGATGTTCTACTGTTAAGATGTATCCTGATAGTTTGTCACCCAGCCAATACCGAGTCTTCGACTGGCGAGGGCGTGGTTCCTCCCCCCTCGACTCCTGAAGGGTTCCGCACTGTTCCTGCGCCTGGTTCTGCGGGGAGTGGAATAACAGGAGCAGAAGTGAAAACAGATGAAGCGGCCCCAACTGTAATGTGAATGCTGCGCGATCATGAAATGTGGAAGCAAGGAGATAATCGAGAACACTCTTGAGTTACTCCTAGTGTATGTGTGTGATCTATTGTGTAATGCGACGCTTTTACGATTTAATCAAACATGAAGGATTATACACAGCTGTCATTATACGAGAAAGGCTTCGTTCTTCCGCTCGTTCTAAAGTAGTCGCACACGCGACGTCCGAGTCGCGATTGAGACGCGTCGGGAACGCGATCACGTGGTGTGACCAGCTCTCGCAGCGGCGCGAAATGCCGGAGTGACGACAGCGATCTCCACGCCGCCTGAGCGACTCGTCACGGGAGCTGTCGACCCAGTCCATTCTACGCGGTCGAAATGGCCAAGGCACTTGTTATCGTACCGCCATCATGACTACCTACGCTATTCAGGTATTCTTCGCCATGCATGTCAACCGTACGCTTTCCTGAATGTACAAACGCAGGTTTCTGGCCTTTCACCGTCCACAACGGAGACACAGCTCTCGGAGTTCTTCTCGTGAGTGTACAGCTGGTCTTTGGCGAGATAGATCATAGACGTGAAAAAACGCCGCATATACAGCTTCTGTGGGAAGATATCCTCGATTGACCATTCCCCATCGACACAATCCGCTACAATTCACTTTGAGAAACCCTCTGCTGCCAAGACGGCACTGATGCTAAACGGTGGCAATCTCGATGGCGCTAACCTCACCGTGATCAGCGAGAAAGAACACCCAGACGAGGTACCCTCATCCCCGCACCACGATGGGGGCTTTGATCAGAGCGACAAGCCGCGAGCGGGAAGTAAGCGCAGCACCTACAGTGATGATAATGTCGCTTCTGACCACCCATTTGTAGTCGCAGCAGAGTATCTTGCTCGCGGCTACGTCCTATCCGACCACGTCCTGCAACATGCTATTGAATTAGACAAGAAGCATGGCATCTCGTCGCGTTTTCTCAACTATATGCAGTCTCTCGACACCACGCTCGGCGAGAAGGCGCTCGGACCCCAAAAGACACTCTCAAGCAAAGTGCAAGAGACGCTGGCGACCGCAACACAGCAAGCGCGGACAATCGACGCCCAGAAGGGGTACAGTAAGCAGGCGACTGATGTGCGTGCGCGATCGAATTTCTGGTGCTCTGCGTCGTTGCTAACGAGCACAATAGTATTATTCTCGCGCGGTTGTCTCGCCGTGGGGTCAGAAAGTGATGAGTTTCTACACGACGACGTCGAAGCAGGCTTTAGATATTCATGAAGAGGCTAGGCGGATTGCTACGGTGCACAAGCAGCATAGGGCTGCGGATTCTGGTAAGCGTCATATTGCTGCTTTGACAAATGTTATAGCCACTGACGAGCGCCATCAGTGAATACTGACTCGTCGACTGGCGTTGGCAGTGCGGCTCCTCCATTGGATGCTCAGGTTTACACCGAAGCCGCACCGGGTCCCGAAGATAAAGCATGAGGAATGCAGAGATAGATAATGTTGTTGGCACCGGGTGGCGATCAGAAGTGCGACTCGCTGAGGTAGTCGCCTTCAGCAGTTGACTATAAGTTGTAGTGTGTATTGTATGTGTACGAATACAATGTGTTTGGACAAGGAGATCAACATTACGATAAAGTGGATACGTGGGCCTGAGACGGCGTCCGTTGTGTAAGTCGAGTTACGTCCGCCATTTACACACGATTCTGAAATCGGTCATACCCGACTCAGACCGAGTCACCGTCGAGAGCCCTGTTCCGCGATCATTAACTTGCCGGCATCAGAGCAACTGAGGAGGGGGTAAGTCAGATTCATGCACTGGCATGGTGAACATGAATCATGGGTGCACCCTGTACTTCCTAAATCCTCGTAGCTCCGAGTCTCTCAGTCTTCGACTGAAGGTGACGGAGAGCCGCTGTGATTTCACGGTTTCTTGATTCCTTGCAAAGGGAACTTGCTATCATTCCCAGACGTCGCAAATCCGGAATGATCTAGGCTAGACCTTCCAATTCCCACTTAGCGACGCTGACTTCTGCCGAGCGGATAGAAGTGTGGATCCCGCCTTGGGACAAGTATAAATCTACTGTGTCACTCCTGCATCATGGGGTCGTAGGTCCGACGTCCCTATTCTCACACCCTCCTTGCACGCAACCTTCCGCTTTCTGTGCCGTCCCCAATGTCCACTGAAACGCCGTTCACGATCGCTATTCCAGACGCGGACATTGACCTCTTGCGCAAGAAGCTCGAACTCGTGCGTCTGCCAGACGAGCTTGACGACGCAAACTGGGATTATGGAGTACCCCTGAAGGACGTACGTAGGCTTGTTGCGCGGTGGAAGGACGGATACGAGTGGCGAAAGACGGAGGCGGATCTCAATAAACTTCCGCAGTTCACTCGAGACATAGGGGTGGATGGATTTGGGGTGCTGAACATCCATTACATTCACCAGAAGAGCACTGTCGAGGGTGCCGTCCCGTTATTGTTCGTGCATGGCTGTACGTCGATAACGGGTTCAGATTGAAAGAGGCTACTTACTGACAGAGAGTAAATAGGGCCAGGGAATTTTCTTGAAGTGACCAAGCTTTTACCGCTGCTAACTGCTGCATCCCCCGACCATCCGAGCTTTCATGTCGTCGCTCTCAGTTTACCTGGATATGGGTTCTCTGAAGCACCAAAGAAAAAGGGCTTCGCGGCTCTGCAATATGCTGAGGTTTGTTAGGCTTGTTCATTTGCATACTGCCACAGGAATAACAGGTTCATGTGCCAGGTGGCCCATAAGCTGATGCTTGCGCTTGGCTACTCAGAATATGGTGATCTCCTCCTTCCTGTTACGTCCGCACTCGCTGAATGCTATTTGCGATTCAAGTTGCCCAGGGCGGTGATTGGGGTTATCTTGTAAGTCCATGTATATTGTGAGGAGGGTTATGTGGTCGTCATCGGTGTCTATGTCAGATTTGCAAGACCCTGACGATGCAATACGGACACAAGCATGTCAAAGCCTGGCATACTAACTCCCCCTTGTGCGTTTTGACTACGGTTTTCCCGATGAATTAGTGCTAACATCACGCGGCAATCAGTACCGGACCACCCGCCTTCCTGTCAGACCCGTTTCGTTTCTTGGCATTTGTTGGTTCTCTTGTAATGCCTTGGTCGGCACGAGACAAGGAAGGGATGGCGCGTACTACGTGGTTCCAAGAGAAAGGCAGCGGATACTACAAGGAGCAGTCGACGCAGCCACAGACATTAGGATACAGCCTTGCTGACTCTCCAGTTGGACTACTTGCGTGGATTTATGAGAAGTTGGTCAATTGGACAGACAGCTATCCCTGGGAGGATGATGAAGGTGGGCCTATTCTTCTGTGCACATTATCAGCTTGTTCACATCGTGCGACGCAGTCTTGACGTGGATTTCGATCTACTGGTTCTCCCGCGCAGGCCCTGCGGCCTCGGTTAGAATCTATTACGAAGTGACGAAAGGGGGTAAAGAAGGTTTTGGGTCCGGAGCGGTTTGGAATTCAGTCCCTATGGGCGTTTCCTTTTTCCCGAAGGAATTAGCCATTGTCCCCAAACTGTGAGTGTTCTGAGCGGATATATGCTACCTGTCTTACTCTGTTCTCTCGTAGCTGGGTCCGCGGCATGGGGAAGGTGGTCTTTGAGTCTGATCATGAAGCCGGAGGCCACTTCGCGGCGTACGAACGGCCTGTGGACCTTGTCAGTGCCGTGCGCAGGATGTTTGGGAAGAACGGACCAGCGCACGGTATCGTTCCTGGTAAAAATGGGTATGCATAGGTGCCAAAACGCGAGTGTCACTAGTCTCGATTTATGCTGCTGCCAAATTGTGTATAATATGACTTTCCCTATTTGTTATGTTCACGACTCCCCTGTTTTGAAGCACGGCCCGCCCTGTCACGTCGTACATTTCATAATGTAATAAAAAGACATTGTGCATGAACGCGACACAATTTGAGTTTCGCGAATCGTAGCGCGCTGCACTGGTCGCGATCACATGCCAATTCATGGGAGGTGCTGCGTTCCAGGCTCTTTGGACCAACTTGGAACGATTATTTCTTTACTGGATGTCTATTGTCGATTTGTCCAAAACTTCAGGACCGAGGATCCTTGCTCGCACCGAGTACTCAGTTTCAATAACATGGATGGAATCGAGGATCGGTACTTGGAGGCTGACCGTCACGATCAGACGCAACGCGCCAGTTGGCATCTCGTGTAAATCCCGGCGTCTTCTCCTGAGTGATTTGCTGCTTGTAGTTTATTCCAACGTCGCATGATGACAACCGAAACGCCATTCAGAATATCCGTCCTGGACGCAGACATAGAGCTCTTGCATAAGAAGCTCGAGCTGGTGCATCTACCTGATGAGCTCGACGAAGCGGGATGGGAATACGGCGCGCCCTTGGAAGATGTTCGCAGGCTCATTGCGCGTTGGAAGGATGGCTACGACTGGCGAAAGGCGGAAGTGGAACTGAATGAGCTCCCCCAGTTTACGCGGGATATCGAGGTCGATGGGTTTGGTGCGCTGAATGTTCACTATATTCATCAGAAAAGCACCGTCGAGGGCGCTGTCCCGTTGCTCTTCGTGCATGGCTGTACGTTCGTTATAAAATCAATTTCAACAAAGATTCGTGTCACTCAAGAGGTACGCGCTGACAGGGCCCGGAAATTTCCTTGAAATGACCAAGATACTGCCATTGTTGACAGCCGCGTCCCCGGACCATCCCAGTTTCCACGTTGTCGCGCTCAGCTTACCAGGCTACGGATTCTCTGAGACACCAAAGAAGAAGGGGTTTGCTCTCGAGCAATATGCCGAGGTTTGTGATGTTTTGTTGTGCTGGAGACTGTTGAACCTATGATATCGCATAGGTTGCCAATAAACTAATGCTTGCACTTGATTATCCAGAGTATGGTGAGTCGCGTTGCTGTCTCCGCTTTGATCTTACACACAGACATCGATTATGTGTTACCTTACAGTTACCCAAGGTGGCGATTGGGGATATTTTGTGCGTCATTCCGGTTGGAGAGCCACGACGCCAGTCTCTGGAGTGTTGCTTATGTTGTTTCAAGATAACGCGAGTAATGGCCTCACAGTACGGACACAAACATGTCAAAGCCTGGCACACCAACTCTCCTTTGTATGCGTTCTTATGGCTCACGAGGCAGCGTTAACACGGCACTGATACTTGTAAACCAAACAGCACAGGACCCCCGAGTTTTTTCACGGACCCGATCCGCTTCTTCGGTTTCCTAGGCTCACTTGTGATACCTTGGTCTGTTCGAGACAAAGAAGGGATTGCGCGTACAATGCAATTCGAACAGAAAGGGACCGGGTATTTCCAGGAACAGACGACTCAGCCGCAGACATTGGGATACAGCCTTTCCGACACCCCGGTGGGACTCCTCGCGTGGATTTATGAGAAGCTCGTGACCTGGACCGATAGGTATCCTTGGGAAGATGACGAAGGTAGATTTACGGACTGTTGATGCTGCCGTGCTTATTTGTTTGGGCAGTCTTGACGTGGATCTCAATATACTGGTTCTCTCGAGCCGGACCTGCGGCATCCATCAGACTCTACTATGAGGCTACGAGAGGAAGAAACGGATATGTCATGGTCGGAATGCCGTGGAGCTCGGTGCCTATGGGCGCTTCATTCTTCCCGAAAGAACTTGGGATTGTACCGAAGCTGTAAGTGCGCATACTAAGAGCACGCACTGTCCATCTCATTATCATTGCCTGCAGCTGGGTGCGCGGTATTGGAAATATAGTCTTCGAATCGGATCACGACAGCGGAGGTCATTTTGCTGCGTATGAGAAGCCCACGGAACTCGTGGCTGATTTGCGAAAGATGTTTGGGAAGGATGGGCCGGCACATGCTGTTATTCCAGGAAAGAATGGGTATACGTAGTACTTGGTACTCAGGAGTCTAAAACTTGACCATAGATGAGTTTATCTCTGGCATGTTTGGTTTGTCCATCAATATTATCCAATATAAAATTGTACTGATCCCCTTCCTCTCAGTACGCTTGACGCAGATGTGAATTGCGATCTCTTATTACAAATATTCATACCTATCTACTATAACCGTCAGGTGACGCTCTTATGTGTACCCGGTACTCGTACTACCGCTGCAGTAAGATGATTTCGAGCTGGAATAAAGCTGATCCGCTACCGCATCTTCGATGCAACAGATACAGCGTAAGTATCGACCAACTCCGTCTGGTGGTAGCCTAGCAAGCCTCAGCAAAAGTGAGTCGAATCGAACCCAACAAAGTCCGCAATCTACTGCAGACCAATATCATGTGACCAGTATCCTAAAATGCAACAATTCAACCAATAAGAATAGTAGATGAATCACTTCGATCCGAGTCTAAGCCCATGTATATACTTTCTTTGCAGGTATTCTTCCTGACAATAGTAACAGGTGCCATGCCTGCAGCTCGTAAATTCTCTGTTGTTGGGTCCTTCACACGTCCGACGATCTCTCGCAGCTGGTATTGCTCTGAGATGAGCCATGTGAGGTCTAGGATACCCAATGATTGCACGACAGTGTCGTCATTTTTGCCACGGGTCAATGAAATTGATAGGACCAACAGCACACAAGATGCCTCAAGTCCTATCGAAGTCTGAAGTGTCGTTCAATAGGTCAAGATACGCGAAATGTACTAGTTGTGATGATAAACGTACTGGCAAGATGTTCAGCTGTCCAGTAAGCGATAACTGTCAGATGGCGCTCTTGATTTGAAGAATACTGATTCACATTCAAACGTGCTGCTAACTGAGCAGCAATAACGTTCCCGCTATCCACGGTGAAGAGCCCGGTCGAGTTGCCACCTTCGTTGTGTTGTAGGTCCATTTGATAGCTTCGCATATTTGACAGAACACTGGACTCTGTGTGAGATCAATACATTTAGACAACTTGTCGCTGTCTGAACCCAGACTCAGCGCATCTGCCCAGTATAATGATGCCGTGAGGTTTGCTAATACGACATGCAATATTCCATTGTTAGACTGAGACCAGACGAGCAGCAATCATTCATACCCAACCCATTTTCAAACTGGTCTAGACTTAGTGTAGTCGGTACAAGCCCACCAGGTATCAGATTGAGCGTCTCCATGAGATACCTGAAATTCCGTCATTATGACCACTATAGTAGAGGGGGCATCGAGAACACTAAACTGTTCAACAACGCCAGGCCTCTTGAGGTCGAAGCTACTGTCAGATATTATTTCCTGCTCAAATTATATGCCGAGACCCTGCCATTCCGGTGCAGTATAGAACATGGCCGCCCACTTTGACAACGAACAGTGTGCGTCAGTCAAAATCGAACCATCACCAGACAAATACACGTTTTACCAAATCCACGTGCTGGTCCGCGAGGCTAAACGTGGTCATATTCGTGTACGACTGTGATAATACGCAGTCTCCATGCGGCTTGGTCGGCTCCCATGAGCTCCATATTGAAGATAACTAAGTGCCACCGGGCTCCAAGCTGATGAGCTCATTAGTCTGCACGTCAATAAATGCTGTCTGTTGAGACCATGACAAAGTGCATCCTAAGAGGCTGATTTCATAAAAAGAGCGTCCTGCATATTCACTGACCAGTACATAATAGTAGTTGACGTTCGTAACAAAATCAGCACAACTCACAAGGATACTCCCTAGGGAAATTGACTGAGCTTTTGAAAGCTCTATCACTGTCTGAGATGTTGGTGGAGACAGTAAATAGGATGTCACGCCCTTGCGGACAATTCTGCGATAACATTTGTGAGCGGTGACGATGAGGAACCTCGCAGAATATTAACTCAGACAGCGCTAGTTATCCCCTGGCACACACGATCCCGCACCTACTATGTCGCATTTCAATCTTGGATCTCCCCAGCTCCTGACTCGGTGTATATCTTACTTGTGATCTACAAATGCAACACTCCAACCTCCAACGATTGAGCGAATAGTAAGAGTAAGCTCACCGGACGAGATCCAAAAAATACTGGGAATTTGTTGAAAAGTCTGGCATCAAAAGTCTAGCAACCAGAATCAATTATCAGTCATGGGTAGAGAGCAATGAAGCTTACTACGGCAGTGCATTAGTGCATCAAGCGGGTTGAACAAAGATTGCATCACATTAGATCAGTATGCGCTAATTCACAGGCACGAGATACTGGTGGATGCGGGATGAACGCGTGGCATGTAGAAGTCAAACAATGCATTTGTAAGAAGGAAGGTCTGAGAGGGAGAGCTGGAGAGCAATGGGAGAGGTGGACGCACGCGCAATACACAAATGATCTCACCGTGGCAGTACCGCGGTCACGTGTTATCATTGCGAGTCTGTTGAATTCTATAGTGCACAACCCTAATACGATCAGTGAGAGATTGAAATACCCATGTCTTCAACTGTAGTGCTACTCCCTGACAAGCCTGACGATGCAGGATGGGATTGCGGGGCACCTCTCTCCGACATACGCAGGCTAGTCGGTTGCTGGAAGAACAGGTACGGCTGACAAAAGGCGGAGGCAGACGTCAATGTGATACCACAGTTCACGTCGAAAACGATGTCCCGCTCTTGTTCTTACATAGTTATGAATATGCTGGCGCCAGTGCGATGTCCAAAGCTGATGGTTTTAGGACCCAGGCATCTCCCTGAGGTGTGGAAGGTGCTGCCACTGGCAACTTGCCGACTGTAAGGTACCGAGGCCATCCCAGATTGCAGGCTGTTGCCCTAAGTTCGACCAGTTTTGCGTTCTTAGAGGCACTGAAGAGAAAGGGGATAACTTTGCCGCAGTATGCCGAAGTTCGCGGAATATTTTCGAGACATTGCGGACAGAGAAAGCCACATGGCCGGTGGCGTAGATCGCGCACAAGCTCATTCTCTCCCTTGAATCCTGAGAGTATGGCGAGCGTCACTACCCTATGTACGAGACGAGCAGGGAACGGCGCGCATGATATGACATTGCCAAAAGAGTAGCGCATATCCTGAAGGGAAATTGACACAACCACAGACACTGGGAATAGCCTTGCAGACTCCCCGGTACGTGGATCTACGAGCAGCTCCAAGTATAGGTCAATGGTTATTCCTGGGGCGACGAGAAGTATCGCTTCGCTCGCTAGCTGCAGGTCTTGTCGTGGATTTCCATGTATTGGTTCTCCTGTGCTGGACCCACAGCGTCGATCGGGATTTTCTGCGCAGTATTGAAGGGGAGAGACAACAACGCCGCTCATGGGCCGCAGTGGAATTCCGTGCCTCTGGACATCTCGTAATTTCCCAGATAGCTTGCCATCGTCCCAAAACTGTGCACCGCATCGGAAAGGTGGTTTTCAAATCCGGCCATGGCACTGGGCGGGGGCACGTTGCTGCGCTGCCCAGCTCGTGAATGACCCGCGAAAAGGATAAAACGGACCTGCGCATAGCGCTGTTTCATGTAAGGATGGGTATGCGCAAGATGACGCAGGATCCGAACATACGGAGGACCCACGCAAACCATTCTGGACCTGGGCTGACATTCAGTACCTACACACCTCGCTTCATAGCCAAGCAGACCGCTCCAACCGCTCCTGACAGAATTAACAGCGTTAACTCGCTGTCATTGTCACGATGGGATCAAACTTGAGCACCGTCCGGCTGGTATTTCAAGTTGAAGCTTCAAGCTCAAACTTTGGGTGCGGTCAAACTGGCCGGCGGCGATTGCAGCCAACTCGCGGCGCACCGGAATCGTCATTCCCACGCCACGCACTCGCTAGGAGCAGGTCCGCATGCTGAGACTGCATGTAGTAACGCGACTGTAGCGACAGAGGACCCAAACCAAAGGCCACGGAAAGTATGTATATAGATTATCCCACCACCTGCGGACAAACGCATCGCTCTCCGGGACTTCTCTGTTTCACTCCCGTCTACGTCGTGCTCCAGCAGATATTGAAGTTAGAAGCGCACAAATGGAGGCAGACCGTGATGGGGGTTCTTGTTTTCTCAAGGTGATGACTGTGATATACATGCTGTACGTGTATCGTCGTGGGGTCCATCCAGGTGCAGGCTAGCACTGGCGTTTTGAAACTTGATTCTCTCTGAGTCTGTATCCAGCACAGGCATGCATCTGTAAAGAGGGACAGTTCTGACGATCGGAGAGATCGAATCGACAGCCACGTCGGGCGACTCAGTTGTGCAAGGGCGACTGATTGGCGCCGCGCGTCCGGCGTGTCGTGTTGCGCAAAGACTCTGCGGATGCGCCGGCACTGGGCTGCGCGGAGGGCCCGCCCTGCACATCTGAGCCGACGTCTGGCGCATCGACGCGTTTCACCGCATGCTACCCATAACAATGCCGCGGGAGATGACTAGTGACTGCCAATATGCAGAACAGCCTGCAACGACCCGAGACACGCGCATGCTTCAGACGAGCCTCGAAGCAGCGCCGTCCGTCTCTCCCCTGCGGCGATCAACCCGCTCACGCCGCCACGCGGGATGTCGCCGTCGACGGAGCCGGGCCACGTCAAACGAAGCGCCTGCGTGGATGTCCGCACAAATTGAAGCTGATGAGGAAACTGCGCAGCAAGGGGGGCAGGACATGGTGGGCGATACGCACCACTCTCCGCTGAAGGACGCGACAGTGCTCATGAAGGCGGCGCAGAGGCAGCCGGTCAACCGAACACAGAGCCTTGCGGGTACGGTCGGTGGCAATCGTTTTGGGGACGACGTCGCCCAGAATCTCGCGAGCTGTCTTGCCAGCTCCGCCAGAGAGTAGGGGGGGAAAGAAGAAAAACAAGCTCCTGAGGAGCACACTCAAGTATCGGCTGTGGAATCTCCAAGGATCCGGATTCTGCCAGTGGTCGATTTTCTGGTCGTCCCATCGCGGGCGTCGAGTGAGGACGTTAGAGCATGGCTCGGCTCAGGCGTTGAAGCAGGTCAACGCGCGAGCGAGGCATACGGACAGGCGCCGAAGACTGCACTTACCTGCCAGTGACTAAAACAGCCGATTCGCCTCCCCCCCCAGCAAGATATTGCAGAAGCGACTCAAGAGATACGTGGCCCCGTAGCAGCATCGGACGTAAGAGTGGTCGTTTTTGTATACGTCACAACTCACTTCTTACCGTATGATTTTCCCAGTCCCACTGTTCCAGAGATTCAAGGCAAGCGACGGAACATCTCATAGTGATTTTTCTTCTCCTGTGGAGCTCGATTTCAACTCTTGGGCACCTATCTGTCAGACAAAGCATCAGTAAATTTACCTGGCCGCTACTGGACAGGCCATGATCTTCTTCGGGCTCTGCGATTGGCAGGCTCGCACGTCTTGCTCTCCACATCTAGACGTGTACCTCCTTCCTGATTGACAGAAGTGGCGGCTGGGATACGAACGCCATTCACTCGCGCCACGCTTCTCCTGATGCAGCCGGAACAATTCGCCATGCAGGCCTGGAGTAATAACTATACATAAGTACACCTCTCGCGGACCCCTTTTCCGCGTGCAATTGCACCCGCCCACCGAGGCGCGCGGTCACTCGCCGCCGACCTCGACCGCGCCGGGGACGCCCGGGGAGCCCGCTGCGCGCCAGGCGGCCAGGACGAGGGCGACGACGTCGTCGACGCCGGTGCCCTCCTTGATGCTGGTGAAGAGCGTGGGCCCGTCGCCGCGCATCAGCTTCGCGTCGCGGTCCATCACCTCGAGGGACGCGTTGACGAACGGCGCGAGGTCGATCTGCGGCATCACACGGGTGAGATCCGCCCTGCCCCGGCTGAGCGCGAGGCGGCGCGTACCTTGTTAACGACGAGGAGATCAGACTGGGAGATGCCCGGCCCGCCCTTGCGCGGGATCTTGTCGCCGCCCTGCCGCCACCGAGCGGAGGTGGGACGGATGCATTGAATTCAGTCAGTCTGTGTGCGCGCGCGCGGGGGAAGGAGGACGCTCACGGAGACGTCGATGACGTAGATGATGTAGTCGGCAAGCTCGCGCGAGTAATTGGCCGCGAGGTTGTCGCCGCCGCTCTCGACGAAGAGGAGCTGGCAGCCGAACTTTGCCTGGAGCGTCTCCAGCGCGCCCATGTTTGCGCTGATATCCTCGCGGATCGCCGCGTGCGGGCACCCGCCTGTCTCGATCGCGAGGATGCGGGCGGGGGGCAGCGCCTTGTGCTTGATCAGGAACTCCTGGTCCTCGCGCGTGAAGATGTCGTTCGTGACCGTCGCTGCAAGCGCATCCGCGTCGCACCCCGCTACTCAGTGACAACAGCACCCCACGCACCGATGTTGTACTCCGTCCGCAGACGCGTGCACAGCGCCAGTGTGAGCGCGGTCTTGCCGGATCCGACAGGGCTATAATCGGGATGCAAAACGACGTCGGCGACAGCGTGCGGGTGCAGAAGAAGCGAAATTTACCCCCCAATCCCGACCGTGAACCCGCGCTCGTGAAAGTTCCGGGCAACGTAGTCTGGCAGATCCCTTTCTGCGTACTTTCCTACACAGATGGGCAAGTATGCATGACGTCTGCGTGCGAGATGGGCAGGCCTCGAGGCGCACCTGGATGGTCCATGTGCTCGTGTGTGTGCCCATGTTCGCCAGGAGCATGAGAATGCGAAGCGCCTCCTGCGTCGTGCGTGTGTGCGAGCGAGGGCTGGCTCGCAACAGAGGCCGAGAGGTTGTTGATGAACTGGACCGTTTCGTTCTTCATGGTCGTGCCAGGCTGGATAGACAGAGGGAGGGAGGGCCCCTCGTCGAGGGCAAAATGGGGGCCCGTCGCCGACTGACACAATCTGATAACCGCTGATGGGCAGGTGATCTGATCTAATCTCATCGGACACAGGCAACACAAAATGAAATGAATTCCAACAGCCACCGCACTACGCGTCGCGTCATATGCCAGTATTTCCTCTTCTCCTTTTCCTTCCACCGTCCTCCTCTTCCTCTCAAGCAGGGAGAACAGCAGCCACACGCAGCCGGGTGTACATGATGCACCACTTCCCCTGCGAGTCGCAGCAATCGACCCTGCACATCTCCTGCACCTCTGCCATGACCGCCTCGGCCTCCTCGTCGCTCAAGCCCTCCATAAAGTACGGGCGCGCAAATAGGCGCAGCCAGTCCGTCAACGGCCCAGGGAGGGGCGTGACCCGCGGGTTCAGCGAGATATGCTGCACCTCAAAACCGGCGGCCTCCAGCAGCTGGGCGACAGCACGGCGTGGGATCAGCGACACACGACGAGGAGGAGGAGAGGCGACGCACAGCCGCGTAGTCCTCGGTCGAGGGAAAGTACCACGGATCGCGCTCGGCGGGGCTGTAGCCCCTCGCGCTCAGGACGCGGTGCAGCGCGGCGCGCACCCCTGGGCCGCGCACGCACGCACGCAGAATCAGAATCAAAGTCAGCGAGCGGCACCACAGAGATCGGCCGACGCCCGTCCGCGCTCACCGACGACGTTCATGAACCCGCCCATCTCGACGACGAGGCGCCCGCCAGGCTTCAGGACGCGCCGCGCGCCGGCGAGCACGCCCGCGGGCGCACGCTTGCACCAGTGCAGCGCGGCGTTCGAGAACACCGCGTCGTACCCGCCGCACAGGCCCGCCGTCCACCCGGGCGGGAAGCGCAGGTCCTGCGCGTCGCTCACGAACACGTGCGCGAGGCCGTTCGCCCGGCACTGCTCGATCTGCCGCGCGGTGCCCGTGTCCGGCGGTCAGCGACGCGAGACATGAAGAGGGAAGGGGCGCGCGCGACGCACCATGCTCTGGCTGTTGTCCGTGCCGACGACGCGCCCTGTGTCGCCAACGAGCGCCGCGATCTCGCGGGTGACCTCGCCGCTCCCGCAGCCGAGGTCGAGAATTTGTTCGCCGGGCTGCGCGGCGAGGAGCGCGAGCACGGCGGACGTGTATGCCTGCGAGTAGACGAACGCCGCGGTTTTGTTATACGTGGCCGCGGACCATGTGTCGGGCGCAGTGGTGCTTTCCGTCGCGGACATGGCTCTGGTCAGTGGTCAGTGGACGTCGGGTGAATGGAGAGGGGTGGGCCCCAGCGGCGCTTTTGTAGACGAGGAGGCCCCATTCCCCACGCACTGGGACGTGGAATGACTCGAGCGTGGGTCGCAATGACTCGGCCTTGACTCGACCTGTAAGAAGCGGGTGCTATGTAGTAGTATGAGATTAAACCTGCTCGTTACAGGTTTAGTATACATCCGCACTTACCATACTTGGGCACGCAAGATCTAAATAAACACGGTAAGTGCTCGTATGCGCGCACGAGCACAACTACCTTTTGAACTCTTTTCTATTTTACTTTATTACTCCAGCCTTATACTCCATACCATTAGGTATATGCAGAGTATGCATCAGCAAAAACCAGGACTGTAGTTATTTAATTACAAGTGAATATAAACCTCACTAAGATCTTTTCTTATTAACCACTAGCACCAATAGTGAGTGTTAGGGTTAGGGGTTTTGTTTTGGTCAAGTATCAGAGGAGATACTTTGACATGCACCCCCCAACAGCACACTTACATAATTAACTGGCCACTCTGTTAGGACAAAGTTAAGACAATCAGTTTCTGATCATGCTATAAGACCCATTAAGTACACAAGGGTAGTGAGAATTATACAGTTAATGTAGTTTATAATTACCTATAAAAGCTTGTCACACTGCAGTTCAAATTGCAATCATTCTCAATGCTAAAACAGTATGCCATCACCATGCTGATTTCTATTTGCAATTCCAAGCCACTAAGGTATTGTTCTACATACATATGCATGCAGAAAAATTTTAACATTTAATTTACAATTGCTGTCGTCAAAATACATTCTGGTTCTGATTTTGGTGATGATCATATCCGTTGGGAAAGGTCCGGCCGTAATGCACGGGCACGACGTGAGGCCCTCAACAGGTTCGCGGGTTGTGGTCCTAGGAAGCTGGGTGGGCTGCCCAGGGATGGAGGTAGCGGCCACGTCAGATGCCCGCCCGCCCATCAGCACGATATTCACGTCGGAACAGTTCCCGACCTGGGTTGCCCGGTACTGCCTTCAGCGGGTCGTCTCCGCGCAGGGCGCGCTGAGCGCAACCTTGCGCCCTTCCGTGTGTGCGTCCAAGAGTGCGGTAGTGACCAAATACGGGTCGCCTGACTCACGGTCGTCTGCGGCCTGAGCACGAATGTCCGTCCACTCACCTGTTGAACTCGCCGTACGACGCACACGCCCGCCCGTCCGCGGTTGCTGGCACAAGAGCGCCAAGTCCCCGCTGTCGACTCCGCGGTTGCTCGAGAGCCGAGCTCAGCCGGCGAAGGAAGGACACGCAGTCTGGCAGCAGGCAAGTAGCTTCAGGGCGCAGGTAGTCACCGGAGCGCGTCGTCATCATGACCCGTCGAGATCGGAAAAGCACACACGTCGACGGATGCCATGCACTGACCGAGACATGCCCGGTGCGCAGCGCACCCGGCAACCATCGTCCCAGGGAGCGGGCCCAGGGAGAGCGACTCGGCCGCCGCACGCGCCGCGGCTGGCACTCGCTGGCAGGGGCTGCTGCGGGCCGCATGCGAGCTGCCATCGTCGCTGTCGCTGTCGCTGTCAGCCTCACGCGCGGCACGGGCACGGCCCTCGACTAATTGCACGCATCCTCTGCGCTGGGCGACCGGTGCGCGGGCTGCGTTGACAGATCCTGACCATCTGCAACGGGGGAAGCCAGGAGTCAGTGATAGCGAGCAGGACAGAGCCCGCCCGCGCGCCCGGGCAGTTGTTTGCTCACCTGAGGCGGACGGATGGATTGTGTCCCCTGCGCGCCGTCCGATCGTCCGCGCGGACGAGGCGCCTCGTCGTGTGCGCGATGGGTGCCCATGAGGAGAGAGGACGGGGTGGCAGGGCTCGCGCGCACTCTTTCTCTATCCAGGAGATGCTGTACCATCAACATCACGCCTGATTGCAGCGACGGGCACAACGCGGTCTCGAAATACAAAGTTTGTCCGTCACGAAGGCCCCAGTTCCTCCCACCCGCGCAAGGGGTTTGATTTTCATCTTGATATCGCTGCGCAGGGCTTCTCCCCGGCGGAACTGTGCTCGAGTCGGGCTGCCGTGTCAGCTCACATGGGCCCCGCCATGCGAACGACGGACCCCACGTCTGCCATCATAGCCACGGCCACGACGGAGCTGTCACAGCAGCAGCGCATTGTCAGCCCGGGCAGCATCTGCCACGCCATGGCGACTCGGACGCCGCGGGCGGGTCTGCAGCGACATTATGGCCGTCTCTGCGCGCACGGGCGAAGGGGACATCGCGTGTGGGCCCACGAAGCGGAAAAGTAACATGCTAAATGCAGCACAACGCGCGCGGTCGACCCCGCACGCAGCGCATACAATAACATAATCGCGCCTGACGCATCAGGCCCAGGGGCAGGGGCAGCACAAGCACGAGCACGAGCACGAGCACGGCTGCAATGGCCGCGCTGCGATGCGCATCTCCACGATC